TTAAGTGATTCTCTTATCTCAGCCTCCCAAATAGCTGGGACTACTGGTGCCCACCACAATGACTGGCTATTTTTTTGTTCTTGCAGTTGTGTTAGCTGGCCCAGGCCGGTTCAAACCCACCAGCATCAGTGTATGTGGCCGGCGCCCTACCCACTGAGCTATGGGCACCGCCTCTACATCTTAAATTTTACTATTGCCTATTTTATTTAAATATTGTCTTTTTAGATTTGTCAAATATGTGGAAAAATTTTCTGAGATTAATACTATAGTGAGTATTGAGTATGATTAGGGTCATAGTTTCTGATGTTGGTTTAATAAATTTTAACAGTGAAAGGAAGATTCTTCTTCTTTTTTTAATCAGTCTTGCTCTGCATCAGTGGCTTTGTCATAGCTCACTGTAACCTCAAACTCTCCAACTCCTGGGCTCAAGCAATCCTCCTGCCTCAGCCTCCCTAGTAGCTGGAGTATAGGTGTATGGCACAGGACACCCAGCTAATTTTCTATTGTTATTTATTTTATTTTTTAAAGTTTTCAACGTTTAGTAGAGATGGGGTCGCACTCTTGCTTGGGCTGTTCTTGAACACCTGAACTCAAGTCATCTGCCTGCCGTGGCCTCCTAAAGTGCTGGGATTATAAGTGTGAGCCACCATGCTCAGCCATGTTTCTTATGTTTTGTTTTCAATTAGCTGTAGAAATTCTTGCTGATATAATACAAAATAGCACATTGGGAGAAGCAGAGATCGAACGTGAGCGTGGAGTTATCCTTAGAGAGATGCAGGAAGTTGAAACCAACTTACAAGAAGTTGTTTTTGATTATCTTCATGCCACGGCTTATCAAAATACTGCACTTGGACGGACCATTTTGGGACCAACTGAAAATATCAAGTAAGTATAATTCCTAGAAATTTTGTTGGAGGAATTTATGAGTTGTGAAAATTAACACTTAACAAACTTTCAAAAAAGTATGTTTTAATAGCCAGGCGTTGTGGCAGTCACCTGTAGTCCCAGCTACTTGAGAGTTTGAGGTTGTAGTGATGCCACAGTATTCCCCTGAGGGCTGAAGTAATGAGACTCTGTCTCAAAAAAAAAAAAAAAAAAAGTATGTTTCAAAAAGTCATTTTTCCCCCACTGATAACCTGAATGAAATTGTAGTAGCTACACTTTAGTCTTACTTAACTCCCAGGTTCTTAGGCTCACAGCTGTGTCTCAAATTAACAAACCTAATCTTTTTTCTTTAAAGAAGTTGAAGTTCTTTGATAATTGTTGCCTATATTTTACTTTGTACTGCATTTAACTTTTAGAATACCTTTTAAGTCCAATTTTATTTTGAGTATGTTATGTAAAGGTATGTGCTTTTTTGTTTCCTTTTATAATTGCTTTATTTATTCCACTTACAGATCTATAAATCGTAAGGATTTAGTTGATTATATAACTACGCATTATAAGGGGCCAAGAATAGTGCTTGCTGCTGCTGGAGGTTAGTCAATTTAAATATCTGTAAATGTTTTAAACACAGTTGTTGTAGTGATGTGCTTATCGTTGGTTCTTTTGGGAGTTGTCCTAAGGTTTTTTTTTTTTTTTTTGGGCAGTTTTTGACCGGGGCGTGTTTGAACCTGCCACTTCCGTCATATGGGGCTGGTGCCCTACCCCTTTTGAGCCACAGGCGCCGTCCCCTAAGGTTTTTTATTTATAGAGCAAATAACTGAATTGTTGTATGAAGGGAATGTGAAGTAATGGAACCAGACTTTCCCTCTCTTTTCTTTCTAGTGGGTTTCATTTCTAGAAAAGGTTAATGAACTATTCCACACATAGGTGCATATACATAGTAGAATTTACTTGTTAAAAAAAGGCAAATAAGTGAACTGGGAGACAGATATACTCTGAAGATAGTGATCTATGGTTTGAGAATCTCTTGAGATTTTAAGTTATTTCTTGAGGATCATCTTCATCCTTGGTTAAGCATGGCATTCCTTTTTTGATTTGTTCATTCATTTAATAGATCTAATCATTGAGAAAGGGAAGCACATAGGAGGCCATGAGAATGTTTAAAGTGGATGCAGACATTCAGGTGGCACCGGTTTTCCCTGGGGGTTATGTTTAAAGGCAGTGAATCAAAGATAATTCTGCCACATATTTAGTTAGTCTGTATTTAGTCAAAGAATACACTGTAATTGGTTTCCAGCCTTCTCTTCTGTTTATTTAGAGCAAAGTGAAGATAAATGAATATTCTTTTGTGTTCTTGTTTTCTGTCTTCAAAATTACAGTAAATTAAAATTCTAGTTGCTAGGGGTAGATTTCTGAGCTAATGAACTGGTTGGTGGTAATGGAAAAGATGAAAGTAAAGGTGAAATACCTTGAACGTTATTCATTGTGGCTCCTGCCTAAATAGGTACCTTTGTATGGTAGGCAATGAGCTCTGAAATTCTCTTGAGTGACATTGTTTCTAAAATGACTGGTCCTGATTGGAGCTTAAACATTTGCAACTGATGTGGAAATGGGAAGTGATGGCTTTGTTACATGAGGCCACAACAACAAAGCCATTCTCGCTGGCTTGGTAGCATATGTACACAATGAGTTCCATTTTGGTTCATGGGTTTGACATTGTTGAAGTTAGGGTATTTTACAATTAATGGCCTGTCATAGATTAGTTTTTTATCTTATTGGTACATATATGATGATGTGCCTTATAAATGATGGCCTCTTAAATTGAGCAAAATAGGCCAGTTTAAGACTGTTGACCTCAGTTTTTGTCTTGGATCCTTGCTTCATTTCTTAAAAAATGACAAGTTGCTGCTCTGTCTTTTACATTAGGGTAAGTAGAGGTGGTGTTGGAGGAGGAGCTGATTATCTGGCACATCCAACCAGGAGGGGTTAGTAGGTGAAGATAATAAAAGAGTGGAAAGCTCAGCACCTGTGGCTCAAGCGGCTAAGGTGCCAGCCACATACATCTGAGCTGGTGGGTTTGAATCCAGCCTGGGCCGCCAAGCAACAATGATGGCTGCAACCAAAAAATAGCTGGGCTTTGTGGAGGGTGCCTGTAGTCCCACCTACTTGGGAGGCGGAGTCAGTAGAATTGCTTGAGCCCTTGATTTAGCTGTGAGCTGTTGATACCGGATTTTTGACTTTGGATTTCCAGGCTCTGGGTCTCAACGATTTGATGAATGAATCGATGGACCACAGGATGGACAGTAAGTTAGGTTTTATTTACAGAGGTATTATTACAGCTCCTACAAAGAGCCAAACCTTGCAGAACAAGATAAGATAGGTTTTATATAAGTGTTACAGTTCTTACAAAGAGCCAAACCTCCTTGCAGGGCAGGGTGTAAGTGTTACAGCTCTTACAAAGAGCCAAACCTCCTTGCAGAGCAGGATGCAAGTGTTACAGCTCTTTCTCTTCTGCTCTCTCTCCCTCAGTGGTCTGCGGCAATCTGTTGAGGTCTTTGCTCTCCTATTCTCTCTTCCTCGAAGGTCTGTGCTGAAGTCTTGCTCTTCTGCTCTATCTTCCTTAATGAGCTGTGATGATCTGCTGAAGTCTTGCTCTTCTGCTCTATCTCCCTTGACGATCTGTGATGATCTGCTAAAGTCTTGCTCTTCTGCTCTAGCTTCCTTGATGATCTGTGATGATCTGCCAAAGTCTTGCTCTTCTGCTCTATCTTCCTTGACCATCTGTGATGATCTGCTCCTAGGCTCTTTGCTCAGGGGTTTATATAGGGGCAGCCATCCAATGAGCTGAAAGCTGAGCTGATTGGTCTATTTTCAGGAGCAAATAGACCATTCAGGAGCAGGATTAAAAATGGACCAATTAGGGATGCACTGGAGGAATCCCCAGTGTTTTCCCCTGCTCCACCTGGTGTTTTTGTTACTGGAACCTCGGGTGGGAGAGGAAGGCTCCCCTCCTTGCTCCAGCCTGCTGGTTTGTGTGCAGGCTGCTGCCAAGGCAGAGGTGGCAGGTCCTCCAGCACCGCTCTACTGGAGCCTCTGGTGGGGGAAGGAAGCTCCCCCGCTTGCTCCAGCCTGCCGGTTCCTTTGCCGGGTGCTGCCACCAAGAGAGAGGTGGCAGGTCCCCCATCCCCGCTTGGCTGAGCTGGCTGGGGCACCACTTTTCCAGTATTACTGTAATGCTACAGCAATCGACCCAGGGCGAAAGCTTGAGGCTCTGTTGCAAAAAAAAAAAAGAGTGGAAGCCATTGTCTCGGATACTGAAAAAGAACTGTGCATCTTTACTTTTTCAGGTGTGCTTCTGGCATCCTTTTACTGCCATGGTCTTCATAAAGTATTTTGTAACCCTCTGGATTGATATCCAAGGTTGCTGTCCTACATAGTGATTCTGCAAATAATGTACTATCACACAGTCTTGTTTTACACCACAGATTTGTTTGGAAAATGTGGATGAGGACTGGGCGTGGTGGTTCATGCCTGGAATCCTAGCACTCTGGGAGGCTGGGGTGGGTAGACTGCCTGAGCTTGAAGGTTTGAGACCAGCAAGAGCAAAACCCCATCTCTAAAAATAGTTGGGTGAGCTCAGCGCCTATAGCTCAGTGGCTAGGGTGCCAGCCATGTGCACCGGAGCTGGTGGGTTAGAATCTGGCCCCGGCCTGCCGGACAACAATGACAACTACAACCCAAAATAACCCGGTGTTGTGGCAGGTGCCTGTAGTCCCAGCTACTTGGGAGGCTGAGGCAAGTGAATCACTTAAGCCCAAGAGTTTGAGGTTGCTGTGAGCTGTGATGTGACAGCATTTTACCGAGAGTGACAAAGTGAGAC